CCCCCAAGATGGTTGGGGGCTGGAGCACTTGTCCTGTGAGGAGAGGCTGAGGGAGGTGGACCATTTCAGCCTGGGGAACAGATGGCTTTGGAGGACCTACCTGTTGGTCCCTGCCAGTACTTATAGGGAGGTGGAGATGGAGCCACACTCTTCACAGGGGTGCATAGGGAAAGGGAGTCAACAGGCACGTATTGAAACAAGAGAGGTAGGCATGAGACAGAGGGACAATTACTTTCCCCATGAGGACAGTCAAGCAGTTGCCTGGAGTGACTGTGCATTTTCTGTCCTTGTGGGGGTTTCAAAACGGGACTGGATAAAGCCCTGAGCAACTTGGTCTGACCTCAGAGCTGACCCTGCTTTGCATGGGAGGTTGGGCTAGAGACTTCCTGGGCTTCCTTCCAGCTTGAACTATCCTGTGACTTATCCTCCATTTATGAATGTTTGTTTAAACCCATTTATGTAAGAGGGGAAAAAGGTTGCAATTGCTAGGAAAGAAGACGTATTTCCTGTCTTTATACCACCACAGAGATTGCTGCTTTGAGAAGCTGATTTTTAAACTTAGTGTTAGCCAGTTCAGATGAGCTCTTTTTTGATATAAACAGGCAAAATACATTACCTTCAAGTGTATATAACTCTATTTTCATCAAAAAAGGTCTTGAGATGCAAATGGCCATAAAACAACATTTTTCTATCCACCCTTGCACCAAGCTGACCACAGAATAATAGTAATTTGAGGAGTTTGTCATCCTTACCTAGAAAGACTCTCCTGGTATTCTTTACCTGTCACACAGCTGAGCCCATATTGTTTAATGGGGCTTGTGTAACTGTTCTGTGATTTCTTCTGGCAGTCATGAGCCTGTCCAAGTCACTTATCCAGTACAGGCCTGTCCAAGCCACTTATCCAGTACAGGCCTGCTCATCTTGCAGCTCAATCGAAAGATGGGAAGCAGCAGGAAACCCAACACAGTTGTCCTGTTAGGCTTGATTTGTGGCTGCTTTGTGTCATTGGAATGTGAATCTGGTCACATGTTAAAAGAAAGCCCATGAAACCACTAAATCCTACGATGCTTGTTCAGACCTAAAAAGGACATGAAATCTGAAGCTGAAGTTTCTTGAAGAAAAGCATGCAAAATCCTCTCTTTTGAGGTGGTTTCACAGCTCTCTTGTACACCATTCACAAAGGTTTCCATGTCTGTGCAACTTTTCCCTTCCCAGCCCTCTTACCCTCTTATGGAAACTTTTGTCTAACCAGCACTCACAAAAAACAAAGCATAAAGAAGGGGATAAAAAGACATATCTGGTCAGCCACAGTGAATTAAAATGCCTCTCCTAGGTGCCTAGTCCCATGTCCCAGTTACACAGTTGGTACAAACTAGACTTTCTGATGCACCCAGGACTCAGTAAACCCTGTAAAGCCACTGTTAGATCACATACTTGTAAATGCCAGGTCGCTTATTCTGCCTAATGTGGAGCACACAAGTCTGCTTTGCCTTAGGATTGTCCTCCAAGCATGTCTAAAGAATGCCATGACACGTGGTTTAGAAATACCTGATGTAGAGCCAGTCTTTGCTGGTACCTCCATACAGCCCTGAGCAGTGACAGGCCAAGAGGTTAATTCAGGTCTGGAAGCAGTACAGCCAACCTCACACAGGCCTTTGCTGCAAAAAAAGAGAGAAACACGTACTCTAAACTGTCATCATCAGCATATAAAATCCCTGAGGAGACAAGGTCAATGTGCACAGCTAATCAAAATTAAATTTTGCTGGGAGAAGGGAGACTGAAGGCTGGACAATTTCTGATGTCCATGTTGCTCGTGCTGCCCCCGTACTAACTAATGTCAGAGGGTACCTCCCTGGCTGCTTCTTGCTTAGATTTTTCCATGAATTAATTCTTTTTGCAGAAGAGCTTAGCAAGTCGAGGCCCAATCTCAAGCAGCCTAATTCCTATGGCTGAATCCATCATTCCGCATTTGTGAGAGGTGTTGGAGGCTCAGAGCCAGCCAAAAGTTACCTCCAGGCATGGGATGGAGGGGAAACACTGGGTCTCTTTCCAGGACCTTCATCACTGCTTAAAACTCCAGTCACAAGGACTGAAGACTGAGCACTCAGCTGGACTATGCATTTTCATGTATAAAAGTTCGCTGTGTTGGCAGTTTAATGTAACCATTTCTGTCCTGGAAATGGAACCTCAAACTTAAAACCTCCCCTAAGAAACAGTGTTAAGATAAGCACCACAGGACTTCAGCTGGACACCATAGTTCATGGAGGTGGATGGAGGCAGGGCAGCAACAACTTAATCCTTTTCTTTTGGTTTTACACACAGGATTTTAATCCCGAAGGACTTTAGCACAGAGAGATAACAATTCAGAAGCTGCTTCATTGCAGGCTTGGTGGTGGATGGGAATGGGTCTGGGTTGTCTGTCTCATGTGGATAGTGACTCTGCTCACTTCTCCCTGCCAGACTCCACCGGCAGCGTGAATGGTGTGGACATGCTCAAAGTGCACTGCAGCCACCCACATCTGATAGTCCAGCTCAAGTTCTGCAAGCAGGAGAACTGCCGCCAGTTCCTGCGGAGCTACCGGGAAGGAGCGCTCCAGGAGTCCCTGCAGAACCACCTCCAGCTCTCCTTGGCCGTGAGCGCAGTGCCTCTTGAAATGGAGCTGAAGGCTGGCAGTGAGCACCTTGACAGCATGCTGAAGGATGAGGATCGCTGCCTGGAATGCATCTACAGGGAAAAGGTGAGTGGGAGAGGGAGGGAGTGCAGGCAGCAGTGAGGAGCAGTAGCACAAGACTCAGGAAGATGGGTGCAAATCTTGCTCTGCTGCAGCGTGCTGGGTTGATGACTTCTCCATCCTTCAGTTCTCAGCTGTAATATGGAGTAAGCTCTGCCCTTACCCAGAAAAGAGCCTAGAACCACCTACAGAGATTCTTCTAAATCACTGTGGTTTCTGTGTATAACAATTAATGTGGCTCAGATGTGTGTTATCACTGCTAAGATAAGGAATTACACAAAGTGCAGTTGACAGCACTAGCAAATGTGCTCGATACACCTGCAAGGCAGGCAGTGTGGAATGATCAGTGCTCAGCATCTTCCTCCCCACCTCGCACACCACCTCCTCAGGACAGCAATGGTAACTGCACCTCGGAATGAGCCTGAGTGCAAACACTCTGTACATTATACCAACTTGTGACAGAGTGGGGAGACACAGCATCTGCTGCACGCAGGAATTGGCTGCCCTTCTGAAGGCAGTCTCTCTCTCAGGAGCAACATCTGAAGCCTAGTTCATTGCACACTTTTGCACTGCCATTCTAATCATGATAGCAAGAACAGTGAGATCTTGACATCACAAAACCAAGGCAGTTGGATGTGATTGAACTCATTGCCTTTTTCCTCACCTCTTTTTTTCCACCTGGAACTAGCAACACCTTATATCTCTGGTTCCTTCTAGATGGTCCTGGGAAACAGATAGTCACCATGTGCTTGGGAAGATTAGGCACAGGAGCACATTGTGCCAGGTTGCTTTTCTGCAAGCACAGAGAATGAAATGCAAACATTTCAGTCCTGGACCAAACAACATGTGATATCCCATAGCGTGTCAACTTCTGCTTTCTGCTCCCTCCTCTGCTGAACTAGCTGACTGGACAAAAGAGATGGGCTTATTCTCAGTTCCTCAGACTGAAAACTCAGTCTGACCTGTGCCTCACAGTGCAACAGTCAGACAGATGACACCAGGGCAAAGCCATCTGTGTCTGAGGGCAGTGCTGAGTACCTGCTTTATGTGAGCCAAACAATAGACTGAGTCAGAGCAGTCACCAGGTTTGATTCTTCCCATGTGCTTTTGCTGTTTCTTTTTCTCATTACCTGCCTTTTGGAGGTGAGACTAGTTTTCTCTTGAGAAAAACTGTCTTGGATTGGATCCAGGAACAACAAAACTTAGAGAGGCACAGAATGAGAGAAAGGTAAGCAGGAGCTACCTGTTTTGATGGCCATGAGCTGTTGTATCAGGTCACCCTATTCTGTGGGTCTGATCCTCACGTGAAGTAAGCCAGAGAAGCCATGCTGCCTCTGGTGCACCCTAATTCTTGCAGAGGGCTGCTGAAAATAAACATGGACTCATAGCAGCTTTGTACAACTCTCTGCTCACTGCTGCATGTGAGAAACCCAGGAGGGCAAAATTGCCTATTTCGTATCACATTACAGATTCATATTCACACATTTATAGCCAGAACTCCATTAGAGTATCTTATTGGGTCAGTTTATAACCTACACTGTAGCTATCTCATTGCTCCTCTCTTGGCACCAACATCTTAAGCTGCACCTTCCAGCTAAGCATCTACAGCTTCGCAAGACAGTGGACCTGGCACGCGTCACTGATGCTGTTTGCATTGCAGCCAGACCGCCTGCAGGATGAGGAGATCACAAAGCTTGAGGAATGCCTCAAGAGCCTGATTGTTCACCAGAGCACCAAGAACAACACTGCTGTAAAAGACTGTGCATCTCTCAACTCCCCATCTCTACCTGACCCTTCTCAAGGCAACTCCCTTTCCCCACAAGTCACCTTCACCTTTCAGGGACAAGAGTTCGGTGAGTAGCTAGAGCTGACCAAGAGTGCCCTTGGTCTTCCTCTCCTCAAAGCCCAGGAGGGAGGATTAACATAACTGCATATTGGGGTCTCAGATAAATCAGGGGTTTCCCAGCATCCCATAAAGGAAGGAATTACAGTGGTCCTAAGATAATTGCCATACTGCTTCAGATCAGGCTTCAACCTGTTTTCCCATTAAGGGAAAAGCCTGAGCAGGGCAGGAAGCTCAGATGTGCCAGGGTAGATGGCTGTGAGCATGTACGTGTGCCACCGCATGCTCCAGTTTGCCACCCAAGGCACCAGCACTGCCCTGGGCTGGTAGACTGCATGGAGAGCAGAGCTGCCCAGCTTACACAGAGAGCGCAGGGAGGCACTAGGTGGTGAGGCTTACTCCAGCTGATTTTCCCTTCCTAGTGGTTGAGGAATGCTGTTGGAGCACAGAGACACGTGTACATGAACCCTGCCCATGGCAGTCCCTTTAGCTTCGCTGCTTTGGCAGTTCTGCTCCAAGCTCACAGTGCTGCCCTGGTGTTAAACCACTGGCAACAAGCAGAGCAGTTCCACAGCAGTTTAGTGATGTGCTGTGGACACTGAACAGACTCCCTGCTGCACAGAATGTTGAGCAAACCTTGGACTGGGCCAAGCTGCATCACATCTGCCGTGGAACCTCTGTGCTTTACCTGCCCTCTGTCCCTTTCAGCCAACAGAACGCTCACACCAGACGACCACCAGAAGTTTGCCAAGCTTGTGTCCAAGAAATGGAAGCAAGTGGGTCGCTCTTTGCAGAAGAGCTGCCGAGCCCTGCGTGATCCTGTCATTGATAACCTGGCTCTTGAGTACGACCGAGAGGGACTGTATGAACAAGCCTACCAGCTGCTGCTCAGGTTTAGGCAGTCAGAGGGGAAGAAGGCCACAATAGCACGGCTCATCACAGCCCTGGAAGAAAATGGTCTCATCAGCTTGGCTGAGGAGCTCCTGGGCCTCCATTCCAATGAGGACTGCTCCTAGAGCCCAAAGGGTCATGGCATTGCTAAGGGCTTTCTTGCTTCAGCTAGTGTATAAGACTGCTGCTAGTGTCTGGGGATGTAAAGTCCTGAAAATCACTGCAGGTTTCCATGCAGGTGGGGATGCCCAGGGGAGAGGTTCTGTGTTTGCAGAAGCCAGTGCAGATCTCTGACATTCCTTATTTTGTTCTGTTTCCAGAAGTCAGCATTACTTTCCCATGAACTGGTGACTTCCTTCAGAGCTGAAACATCACAGGGAAGCAGCCAGACAGGTAGAGAGCCTAGGGGATAGTGGGGGAGAGGGGAAAGCAGGGAAGGCATCTCAGAATTTCTCTGGGGAGCAGACAGTGTCACTGTTTGTCAGGCTGTGTCTCAGGGCCATCATCTGGAGAGCTACAATATATTTTTAGTACTGAAGACATTCATGCCCTCAGATGTGACATCAAGCAAAGGCAAAGGAGAAGTTAAGGAAAAGTCAATTTTATATTGTTTTTCTTCTTTGTTCTTCAAACAAGCAAGATCTGTAGCAAATGCATTTGTCCTGCCCTGCTCTAGTACAGCTCCTTCCCACCTCTCACCACCTGAAAGTGTTCTTTTTACCTGGGACAGTCAGAATCTTACACAGGGCACAAGATTGCTGCTGTGGAACAAGTTTCAGGCACTGAATAAGCAATATGGACAAACACAAATTCAGAGAATGATTTCCAACTTTTTCTGGACTGTGCTGAACAATAACATACTGACTACCTTGTGCTTAGCTCTTTCCCACCAACCAGAGGGAGCCTGCATCTGTGAAAAGCAATACACAGTGCTGGAAGGAAAGTAGTCTCCTAGTCAGCTGAGCAATCACCTCTGACCAGCTGGCTGCTGGTGCCTTCCTTCTTAACCAACTGCCCTTGGCCTCTGGAGATCACCAGAGAGGATAGTTCACGCTGTTGTGTGTCCCAGGTGTCAGGGTCTGTGCAGAGCCTTTCCCTTGCAGTGTTGTCACCATGCGACAGTTGGGCATCAGCTGCTGTGCCTGGATTTACCTGATTTTGAGGTTAAAAGTGGCTTAAAAGACAAAGCACTGAAACACCAGGGCTCACTCAGGCTTTCAGTTCCAATGGGAGAAGCCAGCTATCTCCTGGCATGGTTGGGCGCCTACAAGAAAGCTGGGCAGGGACTTTTGACAAGGGCATGCAGTGACAGGACAAGGGGAAATGGCTTTAAATTGACAGAGGGGAGATTGAGGTGAGATCTTAGGCAGAAGTTCTTCCCTATGAGGGTGCTGAGGCTGCCCCACCCCTGGCAATGTTCAAGGCCAGGTTGGATGGGGCTTGGAGCAACCAGTGGAAGGTGTCCCTGCCCATCTGCAGGGGCTGGAACCGGATGAGCTTTGAGGTCCCTTTCAACCCAAACCAGTCTGTGATACGATATATGATATGATACACAGACTGCAACAAAGCAGAGTTTACACCTTTGCCCGTAACATAGCACAGAGCAACAAATGTCTAGCATGACATGGGTCCTGTGAAGCACAACAGTATCTTGATTGCCTGTGACATATTCCAGATGCTTTCCCGATACGTTTTTACTTACCCTTTTCCATTAATTCTATTCCTCTTTGCCCTTCCCATCCACAGGAATAGCCAGTGGGCCTTGGAAATTACTCCAGCGGTAGAGGATGGCTCTGCCAGTACACACAAAACCTGAGTGTGTACACAAATATCAGGCTGCTGGCAGTCATGGTAGGACCAGCTTTCAGGCAGGCCAGCCCTGATGGCCTTGTAAACCACAACTCACATCTTTCTTAATCCTTCACTGGAGTCAAAGCTATAATTCAGTGAAGAAGGAACACAACCTTGGATTCAGCTCCGATCTGAGCTCCTGGGGCTGGTGCTGCTCCCTTTGCTTCTGCTGCAGTGCATGCTGTAAGCACCAGCCAGCTGAAGGCCTGGATGAGCAGAATTTAGATGGCCAGCTTCTGCTCAACTGGGGTCCACATGCCTCACATGAGCTGAGCATCACATTCCTCAGTGTAAATCTGCAGAAAAAAAGCCAGGCTTTGAATCCCCAAGGCTATGTACACAGTGTGGAAAGGAAATGGAGGGGGTAAAAGATGGGGGGGATGTTTTCAGGGTGAATCTGGTTCCTTTTTGCCCTTAGCTTCAAAGGAAGCAGGACTTCATGCAGTCACCATCTATACAAAGACTGCGGCTTCATGACCTTTTATTAAGCCGTTCTCTGTGAGTACTGTTGCAGTCTAATCTCCCCCATTCATGCTCCACATCCTACCCTCTCGCTTACAGTAGTACCACTGCTCTTCCCTAAAAGAAGCAATTATATCTCTGACAATTTTGCTTTTGGGACCAGCACAGCAATGCTGATCTTAGGTAGGTCAGGCTGCTGTGGAACCATACCTCAAAGCAGTTGTTTTCCTGCCAGAGCCAAACTGGGGCACTCTGATTGGCAGCAACCCACCTGGCAAATGGTATTTTTAACACAAAAAGTAAGCAGAAACTTGAATATTACTTTAACAAAAAGTGATTATTAGAAAACAGGGTCATATGCATAAGCCTGGTGTCTCATTTGTAATGAGTATTTCTAATTTCTCAGACTAGCTATTCATGTGCACAACTTTCATACACAGTTATAAGGCAGCCACTGAGTAGTGAGAACTGCTAGTTTTTTAGCATCTGTTAATGCTCAAAATAAGAAAGGCTTATTATTCAGCATCTACTTAAAGTCCAAAAACCTTCTTTGCTGCTGTTACTGTATTACAGAGGACATGAATGCTTTTTTTCTTAATTGAAACCTTATGTATTTTACTGCTCGGCCAGCAATTGGCATATGTGTTTCCTCTTACTCACAGATTCCCTCTCAAAAGTGCCATTAAGTGCTGGAGCTCGTGGCAACCTTCCTGGAATATCATCATCTTTAACAGCATTCACAGGTGCCTTCATTGCAGAGACTCCCAGGAAAAGGGTTTCCAGTGATATTCCATGGTGGAATTGTCGAGCACGTGGCTGGTTTGGGACTATAGCAGTGGCTGTTTCATGCTGCCTTTTCCAGATCGGTAATCATCATCAGATGCAATGAAAACTCAATTCTGGTCTCAAGTGGACTCCTTCTTGCTGAAAGAATAAGGTTTTTTTTGTATTATTTGTCACAAGCTTAGATGAGACAATTTTCCCAGAAGCCTTAGAATGATATAGATCAATTGGATTGTGAGTGTACAATGTCATTTGCATTGATTTGGCATTTGGCTGGGGCTTGACCCTGAATTTACTTGTTTTACCAAGAAGATTCCACAGTGGTTTTACACCAGAGTGCAAAGACAAGGGAACTTACATCAAAGAGGGAAGCAAGAAGCACTCATAAAGGAAAAAACCGTTAGTAGAGATTTGTTGAAGAAGTTAGAGGTGTGTCTTTGCCTTGGATAGTAACGTAGTGAGTGGAACTGAAGAAAGAACTGGATGCTGTGGATACCACCAGAAACTCAGTGCTACATACTAGACCATGTAGGTAATAGCTAGATAATAAGCACCCCTGGTGACTGCCGAGCTGTCATGATTTTGGAAGAGGAGCACTCGTGCTTTCTTCCTTGCCTGTGCAAAGTTAGTTGCATGCATACTGCACCTACTCAGATGTGACATGGAAGTGACACTCCCTTACTTCTGTTATACCGGTTAGCTAATGTCTAGTGTGTGAGATAAGCCATGGGCAGTGCTGCTCCTGGTGACTTTGGCCTGACCTCTTAACAGCTCTTCTCTGTGTATTGAGATATGTTGGGGAAAAAAGTGATATGTTTTCTGGCGGTGGTGGGGTTCAGAATCATAGAATCATAGAATAGTTAGG